CAATTAAAATGGTCCAGCTATCTAGGAGCTTTCTAAATCCACACACCTCACTCCAGAGGAGGGTTCTGCACAGGAAGTCTGCAAGAATTCCTCAGCTGCTATTTTCCACAGGTTTAGAGTACACACAAAGCAAAAGCAAAAGCACATGAAGCTTTGCTGGCAGCAAGACCTGATGTCTTCATTGATGTAGCAAAGATACAGGAGGTTTTAAATACTCCAGTGGGGGAAAAGAGAAGCTTTAATTTGGCAAACTGTCCCTGTGAAACCAATGGGGCAGCAAAGAGGCATCACACCTGGCTGCTGGAGCAAACCACACAGAGCAGTTCCCGAAGGGTGGCACAGAGCCCACCCACACACAGGTATGACCAGATCCCCAGGGAACACCCAGGATTTCAAGAGCTCAGCTCTACAAACAAAAGTCCTACCAGGAATCACCAGGAATCACAGGCAACGAGACAGGCTGGGGTTTAAAGCTAAAGAGCGAACGGCAGGAAATCCAAATGGAACAAAAAGCTCCAATCTGGAACAAAATCAATCCACACAAGGAGGCAGCTTCCCTAGTCTGGATGATTTTAGAGCATAAGCAAAGTGAAGTTTCTATGAGGCTACTCCTGAGCAGCCAGCAGCTAAATCAGGTGGGTTGTGCAGCCAAACTCCAGCTACCAAGGTGACAAAACAAGGAGAGTGCAGCAGTTCACCTGCAAGGGCACAAAAGGACACTTCTGGCATGGACCTGCCGAGCTGGGAAGGACACAAAGAGCCAGCAGAAAGCAAGACCTGTGGCTCACAGAATGCCAGAAACCTTTATAGAATATATATATAGATATATCCTCTTGTCAGTGAAACAGGCAGCAGTCCCTGTCCTGCCCAGGCTGTCTGCTCACAGGGAAGGTCAGTGAAAACACTGAAGCTGCCTCAGTCCTGCCAGTGACCTGGAAGTTATATCAGAACAAAACCACCAGTTTTTACCCCAGATTGTCTCCCAGGAGCACTCTGAGATGGGCAATTCCAGCTGACACAGCCACTATTCCAGAGTACTGGGTTTGAAGAGTATCATGGAGGTTTTTCTCCATTTAAGAAAGATTTCACCACGTGTTCTGCACTGTATTTTTGTACTCCTGACTCACAACCAAATTAATTCAGTTGTCATCAAGCCCAGCAATGAAAAGAAGCACAAAACCCTCCAGCATCCCTGGAGCAGCTGCTGAAGGTCTGCCCTGCCTGAAAGCTCCACAAAGTTTCAACTCCTTCACATGCTGCTCAGAATAATTTCCTTGGGTGTTTCTGTTTGGTGTTTCAGCCTAAAACAGATCAAATTGTCTTAAAATAAACCCGGTTGTTCCCATCTAAAATAATGCTGTTGAAGAAAACCACTTGTTTGCTCATGACAGACTTGGCATCAAAACAGAAAAATAATATTCTGACATGTTTATAAGTGGAGCATTAACTCCAACAGCCTTTTGGAGCCACACAGCTCTGGGGGGCGGATCTGGGGCAGAGTTAAAACATTCCAGAAAGGATTACAAGCAAATTAGCTGAATTACTGGGAGGTAACTTCATTTTTGTGGGAATGTCTTTGCTTGGCTTAAGTTCTTGAGGAGTTTCAAACAATTCCAAGTAGATAAACACATCACTGAACTTCTACCCTGCTACCTGCCACGGTCTGACCCCAGGTTCCAGATGTTTCTTAGAGCTGGAGGAGTTTACAGTCACACCTGACAGGGAGCTGAAGCTCTGGGATCTGCTTCAGGCTACGTGTCAGCAGCTGGAGCAGAGAGGAAATCAGCTGATGAACTTTGTGTCAGGAGGAAAAACAGCTCTGGCGTAGCCTTTACAGAGAATTCCTCTCTCAGAGGGTTTGGCACTTTGAAGACTTATTCTTTATAAAGCTCAACCATCTTCAATATCTGGGATTGCTTCTGTGTCCTGAAGTACAGCCAACATCTGTTCCACAATACTGAAGGTGACAGAGCATTTGTGTTCCAAGTGACAAGAATAAACACGATCCAAACCACAGAGTGGTTTGGGTTGGAAGGGACCTTAAACCTCACATCATTCCACCCCCTGCCACGGGCAGGGACACCTTCCTAAAGGATAAAAACACCAACATCCACGTTTGTGTTTTCAGCACTGAGCTGAGACACAAAGCACAAGAGAATCTCCAGGGATGACATCACTTTGGATCCCAGCTCGCAGCCTCGGGGTGTCTGACACGCTCCTCGCTGAGCCCACAGCCCGTCTGACAGCACAGAGAGCCAGGCTGGAATCTCTGCCGAGTGCTGGAGCTTCCCTCCTTCCCCCAGGAACGCAGCCTGAGCCCGGGCTGCCTTCCCAGGCACAACCTCTCATCCCAGGCACAACCTCTCAGCCCAGGCACAACCTCCCAGCCCAGGCACAACCCCCCAGCCCAGGCACAACCCCCCAGCCCAGGCACAACCCCCCAGCCCAGGCACAACCTCTCAGCCCAGGCACAACCCCCAGCCCAGGCACAACCTCTCATCCCAGGCACAACCTCTCAGCCCAGGCACAACCTCTCATCCCAGGCACAACCTCTCAGCCCAGGCACAACCTCTCAGCCCAGGCACAACACCCCAGCCCAGGCACAACACCCCAGCCCAGGCACAACACCCCAGCCCAGCCCATCCTTCCCCGGCCGCCGCAGCGCTCGCAGCGACAGGCACGGCCGGGACAAGGATCCCCATGCTCTGGCATCCTGCCTGGCAGGGAACCAGCAGCAGGAGCAGGTTGCACAGCACAGGGACAGTGGTTTCGGGTTGTTCTGCTGGAAGGTTTGCTCAGTCCGGGCAGTTCCAGCAGCTGGAGCTGCAGCAGGAGGAAGGGAGGGATGGATGGATGGGAGACCCACGGGCAGCCGGTCTCGGGGGGACTCGCACTGTACTATGGCTCTGGAAGACCAAAACCCGACTGTGGCCTTGGCAGAGGCAAAAAAGCCCGAACGGAGTAACACGCAGCGATTTTGGCCGCGCGGCAGCGCAGCCCCCGCGGCCCCTGCCCCGGTACCTGTAGTAGCTGAGCAGCCCGTTGCTGAGCACGAACCAGCGGCGCTGGTAGCCCTTCAGGTAGTTGGTCCACTTAAAGAGCCACCCCTTGTAGGTGTCGGAGCCCGGGGGGGCGGCGGGCGGACCCCCCGCCGGACCCCCCCCTCCTCCTCCTCCGCCGCCGCCGCCGCCGCGGCCGCCCGGCTCGCTGCTCATGGCCGGCAGCTCGTGGCAGGCCAGGCAGGGCACGGCGCTGAGGAGCGAGACCAGCCCGCGGGTGCCGCCGGCGCAGAGCGCGGCCGCCTTCCCCATAGACCCCGCGGGGCCCGGCCGAGGCTCCGCCGCTCGCGGGGCCGCCCCGGCCCGTCCGCGCCGACCGGGGGCGGCGCCGCCGCCACGTGACCGCGGGGGGGGAGCGGGGGGGTGCGGGCGGGGGGGACGGGGGGGCGGTGGCGGCGTGCGCCCCCCGGCGGCGGGGCGGGAACGGCCCCTCAGCCCCCCCCCGCCATTTTGACCCCCCGCCGCCATTTCATGCCGGGGGAGTGGGGAGGGGATATAAAAAATTGGGATATAAAAAAAAATAGTTCCCATAAAAATTTTCCCGTAAAAAATCCTCCTTGGGACTGTCTTCCCTGCCAGGAGGAAAAGCCCCATCCCGCTGTCCCTCTCAGCTGCTCCCCCCCCATCCCAGCCCATGGGCCTGGATTTTATGCCTGAGGGGTCCCTTCCCCACAGGGCACCATGGGGGCAGTGGCAGGTGCTGCCCAGCCAGGTGTCCCCATCTGCTGAGGGCCCTTCCCTCCTCACTTCCTTTCCCTTCCCTCTTCCCTTCTCCCTTCCCTTCCCTTCCCTTCCTTCTTCCCTTATTTTCCCTCTTCCCTTCCCTTCCCTTCTCTCTTCTCCTCCTTTCCCTCTTCCCTTCCCTTCCCTTCTCTCTTCTCCTCCTTTCCCTCTTCTCTTCCTTTTTCCCTTCCCTCTTTCCTCTTCTATCCTCTGCCCTTCCTTTCCTGCCCCCCCAGCCTGGGGATCACCTTTCCCTGATCTCCCTAATCCACCCTGATCCCACTGATCCCATTATTCTCACCCATCACCTGCACACACAGCCCTGCAGGGTGCGGGGAGGGTGAGGGGGCTCCCCCAGCCATGTGAAATCTCCAGTGCGGGCACTGTGCTCCAAACCTCGGGATCTGGCCCTTGTCCCAAGTCCCTCTCCAGCTCTCCTGGAGCACCTTTAGGCATTGGAAGGGGCTCCAAGGTCTCCATGGAGCCTTCCCTTCTCCAGGCTGAACAATCTTTTCCCAGAAACTCTAAGGCTGTTGGTGTTTGGAACCAAAGATTCCCTGGAGAGAGGTACCTAGACAACAAACTGCCCACATGGGTACCAACATCTCAAAGCCTCCCAGATCCTGGCATCTCCTGTGGCTGCAAGGAAGGGAACACACCTCCCTTGGCCCTGTCAGAGGAGAGAGTGGCCTCACCTGATCATGGAGACTATTTGGGCTTTGTAGCCCTTGCCACTGCCCTCTCCTGGGAAAGGAGGTTGCCAGGAAGGGCCACAGGTAAAGAAGTGTCACTGGGAGGCTGGATCCAAAAGGCTGTTTGCTCCCAGCTTGCAGTTAGCTTTGGGAGTGGCTTGCAGGATTGGGAACACGGCTTGAGCTGGGCTGTGCCACATCCCACCCTCTAAAAACTGCAGACTCCAAGGATGGTGCCCAGGCAGGACTCATGTCACTCACTCACAGTCCTGCAGCTTCCTCCTGTGGAAAGGGACACGGGCTCCCAAATCCACACACCCAGGACTTGACAGAATGAGGGGAATCAGCCTCAAGTTGTGCCAGGGGATCTTTATGTTAAATATTAGGAAAGCTTTTATCATGGAAAGGGCTCTAAAGCTCTGGGACAGACTGCCAAGGGAAGTGGTAGAGTCACTATCCCTGGAAGTGTTCAAACAAACATGTGGATGTAGCACTTGAGGACATATTTTAGTGGTGAACACGGTAGTTAAATGTCTTTTCCAAACTTAACAGTTTAATGTTTTTATCCGGAAGAGCTCAGACCCAGCAGCTTTGCTGGGGCAAAGAAGGGATTTGGGGCTTTATTTTTTGCCTCCCTTGCCCTTGGCCTTGGCCCTGGCCTTCTTCAGCTTTGCCTTGAAGAAGGACCGCACCACGTAGCCTCTCCAGGCAGCCTGGATGCGGGTGGCGGCACGGTTCCTCCTGGCCTGCTCCTGCAATTCCTCCTCCTCCTTCTGCTTAAGCATCTTGCGCTCCTCCTCAATCTGGGAATACTCCTGGAGCAGCAGAGCGTGTTTCTCCATCAGCTGGGCCAGCTGGGCCTTCTCCTCGGTGTAGACAGCGTGAATCGCCTCGAACGTGGCCTGGCAGGTACAGCAGTTCAGCTCCCCCCTGTAGACCCCCAAGGGTCCTGAAACCCATCCCAAACCCTTGCAGGACCACAACAGGGAGCTGAGCTGAGCTTTTCCAAAGGGATTCAAAAAGAAACCATGTGCCCAGTACCCAGGGAATTTCATGAGATGCTGGGTCCCAGTATCTTCATGTTCTTCTGAAAAATCCTCCCACAATGGAATATTTGAGAACAGTGGAGGGGGTGTCTGCCTTGACAAATTCTACCCCAAACCTGCTCCTGCCTCCCCACAGACAGGAAACCAAAATAATCCCATTATTAAACACCTGACCGGGGGAATCATTCCTTACAATTAGCAGCAGCTTTCAGGCCCCTCCCTGCATTTTGGAGTCCAGCAGCTTTTATCCATCCCCATAAATAGTGCAGGAACGGGGAAGCCACCAGGGCCTTCCCAGAGGTGAGGTTTGGGAGTGCTCATGTGACCCTCAGGCTGTTATGGCTCAGTTGGGTGCAGGCTGTTGGGTTCCTTAGCACCCAGCACATCTCTAAAGGATCTAGCAGGAACAGGAGTGGGATTTGGGCACCAGATAGAGCCATGAGGATTGAGGATTGGAGCAAACCTGAAAAACCTGCTCCCTGGCATGTGGTGGACGTGCCTGAAAGAACGTGGCAACCCATAGGCCCCCAAATACTGTGTGATTTAGTAGTGGATGTAGCTTTTCCTAAAACCAAAGGAGCAGAGAACTCCTGGACACATAAGCAGGACAAAGATCCCTTTCCTGCAGTTCATCTGGATGGAGATCTGTCTGTCACTTCCATGGCTTCCTGGGTAAGAGCCACATGTCCATTTGGACAGGAATCTACCTGAGCGAATTCCCTCATGGCAGAGCAAAGCAGTTTAGAGCCAATACCTGTTTTGCTGCCATGTCTGTGTCGTATTTCTGGATCCAGTTCTCAATTTCCTCCTCCGTTCTGCACTTCCTCTGAAACACAAAACAAGATCAGATCCCTGCAGGCACCTGGGGCCTGAGTGAGAAGGATCCTGAGTGAGAAAGCAGGGAATCTCTGAGCCCCAGCATCACTGTATCTGTGTATAACACCCCGTCCCTGGAACAGGCTTCCCTCAGCTGACACATATGTGGTTTGCCCTGGTTTGAGGATTCTCCTGGGACATTCCCTGAGGCCCAAAGGGCTTTATTTGGTTGACAGCGTGGAGCTGGGGAGTTGAACAGCACCTGAAAGGTGCTTTCTGCAGGAGGAAATAAATGTATCCTATGGAATGCGGTAAGTCATCGACAAACCGGAGAAACCACCCTAAAATAGAAGCAATAAAGAACTGCAAAGCATGAACACAGGACAGAAAGTACTCAGAAGATGCTCTTTTAAAAGAAGGGATATTTCTGGCTGTAGAACAGTTTTGCAGTGGCTGTACTGCTGTGCAAGCAGTTATGGGCAGTTTATCCCCAACTGCTGTATCCGTGCTCTGTGGAATCATTCCTGGTCCATCTCAGGTGCCACATGATTTCCTACGTGACACTGCCCCAGGAAGCCCCAAGGGCTCCCAGGCCATCATGAGGTCACACCTCAGCTAATTAGACCACAAGTACAACCTTGTACTTGTACACGAGTACAACTTGTACTTGCTGAGGAAAGGAGGCCTCTGTGGTCAATAAATGCGTCTTCCTGAGTGCTGGAATGAGCTGAGCACTCCTCAACAAGCCCTGCTGTGCTCTGCAGCCCCAGGGACTGCCTGACACTGCCCAAGGAGGTGTAAATGGGTAGATTTTTGGGGTTGTACTGTGGCTCTAACTTGGGTTTGGTGCTTTGTCAGTGCCCAGCCCTGTTGTCAAGTTGTACTGCATCACCCAAAGCAAGAGTGAGGGATACCCCCACCACCAGCCTGGGCTGTCCTGCCCGTGGGGGGCTGTGATGGTTTGAGGGAATATCCAGGAGGAGCAAAATGAGGAGGGAAACTTTTTCCAGTTCTAGATTCTGTGTCACCAGAGTGTTCTCCTCAGGGCAGAGCTGTTGCTCCAGAGGCCTGAGCCTGCCTTGTGCTCCTGTTTCCTCCTCCTGTATCTGCTCAGCACTGGGGGGTGAAGGACTTTGGGGTGCTGCTGTGTTTGGGGCTGGACATGCCCCGCCCATGTGTCCTGGCACCCAGAACCCCCCTCGTGCCCTGGGCTGATCCCCCAGCGTGGGCAGCAGGGCAGGGGGGATTCTGTCCCTCTGCCCCCTCAGCTGAGACCCCCCCTGCAGAGCTGCCTCCAGCCCTGGGGAACAGCACAGGGAGGATGTGGAGCTGCTGGAGAGAGTCCAGAGGAGGCCCCAGAGATGCTCCCAGGGCTGGAGCCCCTCTGCTCTGGAGACAGGCTGGGAGAGCTGGGGGGTTTCACCTGGAGAAGAGAAGGTGCCAGGGAGAGCTGAGAGGCCCTTGAAGGGCCTAAAGGCGCCGAGAGCTGGAGAGGGACTGGGGACAAGTGATGGAGGGACAGGACAAGGGGGAATGGCTTCCCACTGCCAGAGGGCAGGGATAGATGGGAGATTGGGAAGGAATTGTTGGCTGTGAGGGTGGGGAGGCCCTGGCACAGGCTGCCCAGAGAAGCTGTGGCTGCCCCTGGATCCCTGGAAGTGTCCAAGGCCAGGTTGGAGGGGGCTTGGAGCAACCTGGGCTAGTGGGAGGTGTCCCTGCCTGTGGCAGAGGGTGGGACTGGATGGGTCCCTTCCAACCCAAACCATTCTGGGATGATTCTATGAAATCACATTTACCCTCATTCAACCCACCCCGAGTCCTTGGCTTATCTCTTCAGCAACATGCCAAGCAGAGCAGGAACTGCTGAGCCCTCAACATGAGCCACATTCACCTTGAACACTAAATCAACTCTAAAAGATGCCTTTCTATCAAGCCAATATTGTGTTTGCTCTGCTCACCCTACACTAGATCTCTTGTTTCTCCACCATCCCTCACCTGTCCTGCTCCAGCCTTGCTGCCCTGCACTCTGCCCATCCACAGCCTCTCCCATGCCATGTCACAGCTCCGTGGGAAGGTGCTCCCAGAGCCGAGGCAGGAGCAGGACCTGTGACAGGCTCTATCCCTGCTGTCGCTGCAGGGCTGCTTTCCACTGGAATCAGCAGAGCATGAGGACAGAGCGGGTGTGCTCTGACAAACACCATGTGCATCCTGCCAGGAACGAGCAGGGACCAAGGAATCTCTTGCAGCAGACAGCAGGCAGAGCTGACAGCTCTGCAAACAGGTTTAAATCTCCTGTCCCAGAGCTCTCCTCCCCTTTACCTTCCTGAGAAGCAGCTCCGAGGCTCGATGCTCCTCTACCAGGGCACTGAACTGCACTCGCAGGCGCTGCACGTCCTCCTGCAGCCTGGCACACCTGCCCTGGGCAGCTTTCACCTCCTCTTCTCGCTGTTTTGCCCCTTCCTTCTTCATCTGCTGGATCTCAGCCTTGCGGTCCTTGGCCAGATTTTCCATGGTGGTTTTGAGGTCTTCAATCATTTTGTCCTTCCTGTCCATCTAGAGCCAGAAAACAAGAGGAGTATCATTGGGAAATGCCAGCGAGGCTTAAGGTGGGCAGGAGAAAAAAGACCTGGCAAAGATTGAGGAGATCCAAGAAGAGACCCTTAGGTGCCTGCTCAGGTAACACCAAGGACCTGCCACTGCTGGCTGAGGGAAGAGTTAGATTTACACAGGAGCTTTGGAAACCTCCTCCCTTGCTCCTCTGGGACCCCGTTAGTAAAGGTGGAGAGTGAACAAACCACCCCAAGCCTCACTGGCACTGCCACCTGAGGAACAGCCAAAAGCAGGTTCCCTGGAGCGAGCCCCGTGTCTCCCTTGAGAGCTGGATCAGGCTCCGAGTGACTGTCTGGGGAAATCCCCAGCTGGGATCAGTGAAACAGATTTATCCACGATGCCCTGGCCAAGCTGCCAAATTGCACATAAAAATCTCAAGTGTCTCAATTCCCAGATCTCCAAGGAGCAGAGGGAATGGGGAAAGCAGGCTCTTGGTTCTGCCAGCACCGTCCAGCGCAGCGAGCACAGGACAAAACCTCCCTCACTGACCCCTCTTGCAGGGAGAAGAATGAGGAGCACATGTAGAAAACAAAGGATTGTTGTCAGGAGCTCAGGGCTTGGATGCTTGGCACAGTCCACAGGCTTGGAAAGTGCCTGGGAAGTGCCCAGTCATTCATCTGCACCTCAGCTGCAGATAAAATTAAAAATTGATGTAATTCATATAATCACTGATTAATCACAAATGCTCCAAGGCAGCTATTAGAGTCGGGAGTCACAGAAATGTTGGTTTTAAGCAAGAGTGAAGACAGGGCAGACATTAAAAATGGATTTTAATCAGAGCAATCTCTCCCTGGAATGACTTTTCATTGTTTCATCAGCAGGAACGAAGCAGCTGGCACTGTCACCCTGCCAAGACACCACCACAGCAATTTGTGTCTGTCCTGCAGCTCCTCTGGAACTTGTCTCGTTCAAGTTGGCTGGTGAGAACAGTTTCAAAACACGCCAAATTCAAGTTTTAAAAAAAAGTCAAGTGTGCAATAAGCATCCTCATTCTATTTTCCAATAAAAATAGCATCTTTAAGTTTAGGACCTGGTTTAGAAATGATTTCTGGAACTTGCTCTTTCAGAACTGCAATAAAGGGGTCAGTTTTTAGTTACCAAAGTTTTGTTCCAGTAACACTTTGCGGAAAAATATTCCCACAAGAACATACCTCCTCCTTTCGAGTCTGGATTGCTGCTGCCAGCTCTGCCTGTAGAGCTGTGATCACTTCAGTGTTTTGCTCAGCCTTGAGGGACATTTCTTCCACGAACTGAATCTTTTCTCGCTCTTCGGCAGGACTGGTCAGGAGCTTCTCCAGCATGAAATCCCTGAACTCCGCAAAGGCTTTGATAAACGCATCAGCTGGTGATGCTCTCACCTGGACTTGATATTTCAGTCCCTGGCAAAGCAAAGGGTTGGCCAGAAGGAGCCTCAGGATGTGTCTAAGAGAACATTTCAGGCGTTGCTCCCTGGCTCTCATGCTCTCCTGTGCTCCAGGGCTGGCGAGCAGGTGCTGCATTTCGTTTGAAAGCTTTTGGTGCTCCAACAGGCTGGCTGTGATCTCAGGTCCCAGCATCCTAGCAAACCTCTCCAGGGAGCCAGTGATCCGTGGGATCAACCTGGTCATCTCCAGCTTGGTAATGGTCTCATCCAAGACAGTCAGGATTCTTTCCGTCTCTGCGCTATCAGGCTTTAGCTGACGTGGCTCCAACACCCCCATGGCACCTAAGGGGGTCGTTGCCTTCTCTGGAGTTGCCATGTCCTTCACCAGGGTTCTTTACTTCACGATGATGCTTGGAATGCAGCTGGATTCCCTGTTGCCATGGATTCAACCTGTGGGCTGAGTGGTTTGAAGTCTAGAAGGGACACAGCTCGCACACAAGGTGAGACTCTCAAAAAACATCAAGGTCCCTGTGCTGCCACTGTCACTTAAATCTTCCTTCTTGGATGTTCTCTCTAAGAGAAAACCATGATGACAGCATTAGGGAAACAAGGTAATGTAGGAAAATGTGTGAGTTTCAGATGACACTGGAGTTCTCCCTGGGTGTGGGCATGCGGTCAGGACATGCAGTCGTGGGTCAGAGCTGGTCTCTGTCCCAGAGAGGCTGTTGAATGCCCACAATAAGGCAATAATATTCCCTTAACAATAATTTCCTGGCCTCGAAGGGTGGTGGGAGGAAAGCTCCCAACTGCTTCTGAGGAGCAGCTGAGCCACAGCAGCACAGTCTGCAGCTCTTGTAGGGTCCTGTGCCCACCTTGGAAGGGTGGGCAGGGTTCCCAGTAGGAAACCTCTACGCTTCAGGCCTGGCACTGCCAGAGGGTGGGAGGGGAATCTGAGGGAAAGGGCCGAGAGGAGGGGACAGGGAGGGCACAAGGAGGGGGCAGGGGGCACCGGAGTGTAGGAGGCTGACAGGGAGCGAATGGTCCCTGGGTGTGGGTCTGGGGCAGCAGGGGACCCAGGGACCCCCGGCTGTGGGACAGTCAGCGGTCGGCGGGGCGTGACTCCCAGGGGGGAGCATCCCCCGTGTGAGGGGCGGGCGGCTCGGGGGGCCGGGCCGGGAGGATCCCCGGGTGGAGGGGGAGTCCCAGGGGTCCGTTACTGGGGAGTGCCGGCCCCCGGCGGCCTGCAGCGCGCTCGGTCCCGATCCCGACCCCAGTCCCTGCCTCAATCCCGATCCTGGTCCCGGTCCCACCCGCCGCCAGCGCCTCACGTTGCCAGGCGACCGAGGGGGCGGGGTCTCTCCGGACAGCCTATGGCGAGCGGCGTTTGCCCCGCCCCGTGAGGCCCCGCCCCTCAGCGGCGCCCATCGCTTGATTGACAGCGCCGCTGTCCAATGAGGAGCCCCGCGGTGGCGACCTGCCAGGGGGCGGGGGGGGGTCTGTCATGGCGGGGGGGGGGTGTCGTGAGGGCGATGGGGAGGGGGACAAGAGGCAGCGCGTCCGCTTCGGGCTACCCAGACCTGTGTTCCTGAGAGCACGACGAATAACCTCAAAAACAAACTTCATCCCCTGGAGGTCAAATCTGCCAGGCGCGGGTCAGCCCAGTGGGTGTCCAGGAGCCCCGAGGGGGCCGTTTTGAATCACCAGACACATCCGAGTTCCCCTAAACCGAACCGTTAACGTGACTGCTTTTGCAGCGTTTAGGGCCATAAAAGTGGTAATGAACCTCAGCTGATTAGGACGCTGATGTTGTACAGGTGCAATTAATTGGTTACCCGTGAATTAATTAGCGACCCCTGCAAGGCAGCTGCTGGCCCTCGAGCGCTGCACAGCGGCCGTGCCCTCGCCCTCTGCCCGGGCAGCGACACGGGTGCCCTCGGGACAGGAGGGATTTGATTTCCAGCGGGAAACTTGGCAAAACGCTGGGTGCCAGGGCAGCTCCCGGTGATGGCAGCTGTGTCCTTGGGGCAGGAGCCGGCAGGGAGCCTTGTCCCGGGGCTCAGCCTTCCCTGGCCTGAGTGTTCCCTTTATTTTGGCTTGGCGTGTCGGAGCCCGTGAATAAAACTGGAGCGCTGGGGCTGTGCCACTGCTCCAGCACGTCACACGTTATTAACTTTCCCTACGCAAAGCAAACAAGAGTCTGGTGATGGGAGATGCAGTGGGACCACCAAGGCTGGGGTTTATGGCCTGGCACTGGTCAGGATGGAGGAGAGGACACCCACGGAGGTGGTGGCAAGGCTTGCCCAGGTCTGTGCCTTCCCAAACTGATCAGGACCGTGGATCAGAGCAGGCCTGTGTTGGCTCTGGGGTGCTGGGCTAGACACAGAATCACAGAATCATTAAGGCTGGAAAAGCCCTCTGAGACCATCGAGCCCAACCCTTCCCCAGCACTGCCAAGGCCTCCACTGACCCATGTCCCCAAGTGCCACATCCACACGGCTTTTAAATCCCTCCAGGGGTGGGAACTCCACCACTGCCCTGGGCTTGACAGACCTTTCAGTGAAGACATTTTCCCTACTATCCAGCCTAAACCTCCCGTGGCACAGCTTGAGGTCATTTCCTCTTGTCCCAAAACAGGGTCTTTCACCCTGTGTGCAAGAGGCCACATGCCCTGAAGACATTTTGGCAATTAAATCCATCATGAAAAGACTGTCTTTTTCTTTGCAAAGTTGAGGAGTGTCTTGATTGCTTCATTTGAAATGGGCCACTGCTCTCCAAGAACTGCAGACCTGGCCTTCCTTACGACCACGGCCTGGAGATGGGATCAGTTGCCCAATGACTGTCACCAGTCCCCTGTGTCCTGGTGCACACAGCCTGCTCAAGGGACAGCAAGTCCTTGGGATGTACAGGAAGGGAGGAGAAAAAGAGCGGAGCCGTGGGTCTCATCCAAACCTCCTCTAAAGTAGGGAAGACTGCGGATCACTGCTGCTCCCTCCTGGATCTGGGTAATTACAGACATTCCCATCCTGCAGGCAGAGATGGAGGTGATGACACAAGTCCAGAGCAGCCTGACTTGTCCTGCAGCTTCACACACCACTCCAGGCCAGCAGCAGCTCTTGCACCAGGAAGGAAACCAGGTCGATTTGGGAGCTGGGTGAAACACCACTGAACCTGCGTCAATCCCACCTCATCCAGGAAGTAGGAAAACCTCAGATCCATCCTCAAACAATTCCCTGCACCCAAAGCCACCAGACTGCATCACTGCCCAGAGCCAGAGGTGCCCGAGAATCCAAATTACATGGGACACATCTGAGCAAGGAAGGGAGAGCCAGGAGAACCCTGGGTGCAGGTACAGCCCAAGCACAGAGTCTCCCATGGTTTGAGTCTGGCTTTGTTCCAGCACGAGGGCCTTGTGACAGACACCTGAGCACCAGAGACCTCCCTGGCCCCAGCTGGGCTTTCCCCCACCATCCAAACCCCTCTCCAGGTGCTGGATCCTGCTCCTCTATGGCAAAGGGAAGCACAGAGTGTGGGACCCAACCAGCTTGAAAGGCCCTGATCCACCCCAGCTTGGCTTGCCCCAACAATTCCCTGTTCCTGCTGCCACCCGTGTGTGGGACAGGGGGAGGGACAGCAGGGAGGGGATGATTTAAACCGATTGTGCAATGATGGGGAAAGAGCAGAAGCACACAATGAAGCCTTGCTACAGCCAACAGCACCACAACCTGTCACTGCAGGGACAGTCCCCTCCTGCCACCGTCCTCTGGCTGCAGCCTTGCCTCGCACTCTGCTGGGAATGTGGAGCTCTGGCATCACACCAAGCCCTGGAGGAATCCACAGGGCTGACTGATCCCTGACCACATTCCACCTGCAGCTCCTGGTGCTGTTCACTCATTCCCATGTTGTGCCGTCAGTGGGGTGACGTGCTTCTCATCCCTATAGTGAGCAGTTGGGAAGGATTCTGCACTTCCCTGGCCCCCAGAGCCTGTGAGAAAGGCTCAGGAAGGGCATGGAGAATCCAGGGAGTCCCTGCAGTACGGAACTTGCTGAAGAGACGAGTGTGGTGGGGTTTTAGTGTAAGCTCTGAGCAAACGGACTCAAAAGGGGCAGCCCACTTGGATATTGGCCTGGAGGTGCTGGGCTGGATGTGGGAGCACCAGGCTGGAGCTGGGTGGCAGGAGCAGGAGTGTAGAGGGACATGGGCTCAGGCAGAAGCATCTCTGCAGCCAGCTGTGGGCAGCTCTGGGAAAGGAAAATCTCCCTGCATGTGTCAGGGTACTGAGACCAGAGTGTGTGAGTTCGGTCAGGCCAAACCTCAAATCCTCAATTAAGTTTTGGGTCCCTCACGACAAGACAGACACTGAGGGGCTGGAGCGTGTGCAGGGAAGGGAACGGAGCTGGGAAGGGGCTGGAGCAGCAGGAGGGGCTGAGGGAGCTAGGGGGGCTCAGCCTGGAGAAAAGGAGGCTCAGGGGGGACCTTCTGGCTCTGCAACCCCCTGACAGGAGGGGGGAGCCGGGGGGGTCGGGCTCTGCTCCCAGGGAACAAGGGACAGGAGGAGAGGGAACGGCCTCCAGCTGTGCCAGGGGAGGGTCAGGTTGGATATTGGGATATTTCTTCCTGGAAAGGGTGGTCAGTCATTGGAACAGCTGCCCAGGGCAGGAGTGGAGTCCCCATCCCTGGAGGGATTTCAAGGCCGTGGATGTGGCACTTGGGGACATAGTCAGTGATGGCCTTGGCAGAGCTGAGGGAACAGTTGGACTTGATGATCTCAGAGGGATTTCCCAGCCTTAAAGATTCTGTGATTCTATAGTTCTATTTAAGTCACAACCTCCAGTCTCCCAGGCAAATTCCAGCTGCTTCCTTGCTGTGCCGAGTGGGAACACCCAGGGCTGGATCAGCCCAGAGACCCAACCCCTGCAGAACCAGGTCCAGGGGACTGCCAACACCCACAGCCTGCCCTGGGGAACAGTACAGCTCCAACAGCTCCAGGGGCTTCCAGGCCATGGGGCTGGGGAGGTGGTGAGGACAGGGCAAAGGGGGCCAGGCATCACCCCAGGCCTGGGGCTCTTTGTCCCAGGGGTGCTGCTGCGTGCCCGGGCTGACTCCTGCCGTGGGAACACTGGGATCAAGGACAGCACTGAGCTGGGGGACTGGAGAAACTGGTGACTGGCTTCTCCCAGCACGGGGAGGATGGGGAGGGACCCAGAGGGGCTGAGCTCTGTGAGCTCCACACAGAGGAGCTCTGTTAGAGCCCCACAGCCCCTCTGCTTCCGTGGCAAGGGGAGGACACATCCCTGTTCCCTTCAGGGTGCTGCTGCATCCCAGGAACCGCCTGGGGACCCCCATGGTGCTCAGGGTGTCTTTTGGAGGATGGATGGGTGGATGGAGGGATGGATGGATGGATGGGTGGATGGGTGGATGGGTGGATGGATGGTTGGTGGATGGATGGTGGATGGATGGTGGATGGATGGTGGATGGATGGATGGTGGATGGATGGTGGATGGATGGATGGTGGATGGATGGTGGATGGATGGATAGTGGATGGATGGTGGATGGATGGTGGATGGATGGTGGATGGATGGATGGATGGATGGATGGTGGATGGATGGTGGATGGATGGATGGTGGGTGGATGGATGGTGGATGGATGGTGGATGGATGAATGGATGGATGGATGGTGGATGGATGGTGGATGGATGGTGGATGGATGGATGGTGGATGGATGGATGGTGGATGGATGAATGGATGGATGGATGGTGGATGGATGGTGGATGGATGGATGGTGGATGGATGGTGGATGGATGAATGGATGGATGGATGGTGGATGGATGGTGGATGGATGGATGGTGGGTGGATGGATGGATGGTGGGTGGATGGATGGATGGTGGATGGATGGATGGTGGATGGATGGTGGATGGATGGTGGATGGATGGATGGTGGATGGATGGATGGATGGTGGATGGATGGATGGATGGTGGATGGATGGATGGATGGGGGGTAGATGGATGGATGGTGGATGGATGGATGGATGGTGGATGTATGGATGGATGGTGGATGGATGGATGGATGGTGGGTGGATGGATGGATGGTGGGTGGATGGATGGATGGTGGGTGGATGGATGGATGCAGTTGTTACCATAGCAATAGGGATGA